GTTTTTTTTTTACTTAGGCCTACCTGTACAGTGCCCTAAAGATGACTTTAGTTGTCAATGAGTTTTATGCTGAATTGAAATCGAAATCCACTTGTAGTTTTGACTCAACAATATCTGATAATAATTCAAAATAACTTTTTATCTTATAGAGCAACAATACTTCCAATGGAGCGAAGCTAAATAAATAATATTTTACATGAACAGCTCCTGAGCAACGTTTGAAGCCTTTCCCGCCTCTCGTGAAGCTGCCGTCCTCCCTCTCCTCTCCTGTGTTGGTCGCCGCCCCTGAACCTGCTTAAAGCAGCAACCATATGTTCGCAGGCTCGCTCTGCACGCTCGGAAACATGAGCAGGGGCAGATATTCAGAGTCCGGGGCGGGGCGGCAGGCGGCTGGATAAAACGGAGGAGGAGACGGCGGTCCGTGCGGTTCGAGCTCAGAGACTCAGGCGGGGAACATGTGAGGGGTGGGGGGGCATGGACGACTGGAAGCAGGATTATTGTTCAGCACAGCAGAAAGACGCAGGAGGGACGCTGGAAAGAAGGTAACAGAGCCTCAAGGAGCTACTGGTTCACATGTTCTTCATGTTTCAGAGCAGAAAGTGGATCAAAGGAACTCATGAAGCCGCTTCATTCTGAAGGAAAACAGGAGACAGCTTTATGTTGACTTTAACTCGGACAGTGAACGCACCGCAAAGGACAGCTGAACAGGTGAAAGGACAGTGGGACAGTTTGAAGGACAGTGGGACAGTTTGAAGGACAGTGGGACAGTTTGAAGGACAGTGGGACAGTTTCTGTCCAGCTGTTTGGACGGATTCTCCACGCGCCAGTCTGACAGAAACATCATTAAAGCTGCAGAGAAACAAGTCAGATTTCTAAAGACTTGAAGGTTGTTTGAAGACAAAAAGGAGGCAGAGAGGAGGAACATGTTCAGGAGGTTTTATAGTGTTTACAGTCCAACTTCATGTGTCTCTGCTCTCAAACGTTTTTAAATTAATGTTAAATAAAATAAATAACTTTGAGGTTTAGATTCTCATGTTTGTAAAAAGTTTAATCAGTGATCTTGTTCACACAGACTGAGTCTGATTAGTGGATTATTTACAGTCACTCAACTAAAACTTTTTATTAAAGGTTTGTCTAAATGTGGTTTGGAGTTTAACTGTGTACAAAGTTGAATTTATATCTGATGCTTTTTATAAATAGTTGTTATTTTGTTCCACAGGAGACACTGGGGGACCCTCTGACCAATCCTTGGACATTACTGAGTTTGTGCTCCGGAGAGAGGAAAAGCCAAAGATGAACAGCATGTTGTTTAACAAGCTGAGCAGTCAGGTCCTGTTTGAGGAGAAGGCCAAAGAGGTGGAAATGAGCAGCAGAAACTACCTGGAAGTCATTGATGGAGAACATCCAGACCTGCTGTCCAGCAGCCCGAGCTTCAGAGACAAGCAGGAGATGAGACACAGACGCAGCGGGTATGTGAGGCGTTCTGTTGGGGTCCAGCATGTGGATCCAGTCTGGTGGGGGGCTTATTATAGAGGAATAATCCTGACGTTTTTCCATCAGGATCTCAGTTTTTATCTAAATAAAAAATAAAAAAACAGTTGTCAGACTGGTGAGCACAATTAAAGAAACAAATACAATTACTCACTTGGATAAAAATAAAGATTCTTTATTTTTTTATGTTTAAGTAAAAAAAAAAGTAAGATTTAATGTAAATTTGCTCAAAAATTATAAATGTAAAAAATAGAAAATAGATGTTTGTTCAGATG